TCCCTGGGCTGCTGGAGAACCTGCCACCTACTTAAAGCTGGTCTGTGCCCAGCTCTTCCCTCCCCCAGTTGATGGGAACAGCCATTGTTCTCATCTTTGATGAAAGTTGTTGGAGAAATAAGACAGCTGGTTTAAAACTAGGATGTTGCAAATTCTAAAATGATCTAGAACTGCTGTTCAGATGGCTGGATTTACCTGATCCTCATTCCCTAAGCTCCACCAGCTCCCAACTCAGCTGCCCTTTCTCCCTCCCTCTCCTGCCCCTATCCACTGAGCCCCCATCTGCCTGGCTCTCTCTTGCCTGCAGAACCCGCAGCTGCAGCGGACAGAGCATTTTGCATTGATATATGTTGTAATTACGTCAGTTCTGCCCTAGCAGTTGCTGTCGGAGAAAATCACTCAAGTGTCAGAATATGACACCTGGCATAGTCAGTACAGACTCCAGACAGGTGCATGACAATGGAGACTCCCGGGCCCAGTGATATGAAGAGCTAAAGGTGGCCTGGAATCTATATTTTCACATCAGCATTTTATAACAAAAGGTTAGATTTGGAATCACTGCCCACCTCCTCATTGGAATCCTTCTCCACCATGCCCTTTGTCCATGCTGCTCCTCCTGGGTACCTCCCAGCTCCCTAGTCTTTGGGCATCTTGCTAGTCTTTTACACCTTCACACCTTAAAGTTTCCTCCTCATTTCATAATATTTATTAGGTGCCAATAATATGCCAGGTACTGAGGCAGGCCCTTTATCTCCACCTTTATAATAACCCTCTAAGGAAAGAATTCTGATTCCTGATTTACAAATGAAGATGCCTCCCTTCCTCATCCTCTGCCTGGCTCTCTCTGGCTCCCATACCCACAGCTGCACTGAACAGATCATTTGCAGTGATGTATGTGGTAACTGCATCAGTTCCACCCTGTGTCCCCTGGGCAGAAGAGCCAGGATTCAAAGACTAGCATGTCTAGTTCTAAAGCCTGTGCCCAGAGTTCATGGATCACACTTGCCACACTTTCCTTCCTAGTACAGTAGCTGGAAAATGGCAAGTACTCAATAAATATTTGTTAGTGAGTAACTGAATGAATAAATGAAAGAGTCCATGTTTACACTTTCTCCCATCTTTCCATACCCATCTCACATGCATGTGCGCGTGTACGCGTGCACACACACTCTCTCTCTCTCTCTCCCTTTCTCTGAGGATTTAACCTCTGAGCCATTTCCTTTCCTTCCGACCTGGCCTCTCCCTGCATGTCCAGTCACTGCCCTCTTAAGCCCCACTTGGATGGTGACTCTTGACACTGCTTCAATTCATGGTTACCTCACCTCTCAAGTGCCATAGTGGCTAATCCTGACAGTCACCAAAGAGCCAAATTGCTCCCAAAGATTCAGCAGTAGAAGTAATCTCCTGACTTCTCTGTGACCCAAGGCAGAGAGCAGAAGCTTGGACTAGGACTGGCCCTAAGTTTCCCGGGAGTCTGAGACTCCCCTCTCCTCCTTCTCCCCTTTCTTCCCCTTCCAACAGCAACTGAGAACCAGGTCCTGAAGGCAGGAGGAGGGGATCCCTTGATTTGAGGGTTTTTTGGTGAAATAGGGGTCTCCTTGGAGCTCAGACCCCTGCTCAGAGAAAGCAAGCAGGGTTGGGAAGTGGGATTTCTAGAAGGCTTGCACATGGGAAGATGAATTGTCAACCATTTCACCAGCTCTCCTAGAGTTATTCCTGTCTCAAGCCATCTGCTTATCCATTGCAATCTTGTAAACAGAGATCTCCTAGACCTCCAGCCAATATATGTTCAAAGAATAAATAAAAAAGGCTACCATTTATAGATTATTTGCTGCATGGCAGACACCATGTTATCTCATTTAATCATTTCAACAACTCTAAGAGGCCAGAATTATTACTATCATTATTTTACAAATGAGGAATTAATTCAGAAAACTTAAGCAACTTCCCCAAGGTCCCACCACCACTTAAGTGACAAAGTTGAACTGAGCTCTGGTCAGTTCCAAGTTCCTCTTTCCTTCCCATAGTGCTGTCCGAGGAAGGAGGCCCAGACTAAGATGCTGTTATATTGACTCTGTAGGAATTTATTTTTTAGACATTCCAACCTAAACCTGGTGGTGTGTGTATATAAACTGACTCTCCTGTAACCCCTAGAGTGGTTAGTTAGCATCTGAAATGCCCTAATCAGGAATCGGCATTCCAGAAAATGGTTACATAAGCACTTCAAACAACATCAAAATATACACCCAAGGGCTTAATGTGCTTGAGGTATGCTAGAAATAATCTTTCATTGGTGAAATAAGCAGTTTCAAAACACGGAGTTGCCCAGGAAGATTATTCGCCCTTGCATGAATGGGGTGTGAGAGCCAGATGAGGCCAACTGCCCCGCTTTCTTGAAGCAGGCTGTGCGACTGTTTTGTGCCAGCTTGCCAGTACACGTGTGCTTGGTAGAATTTGGCCTTAGCCATTTTTAATATCCCACCAGCAGGAGATTACAGAAAAGAAGATAAATGGCCTCCACTTGCCACTCATGTCCCACGGCAGGTAATACAATCACCAAAGGACCAAATTAGCTCATACCAGTTGACAAGTCCCCATCCTGGCTTCATCTCCTCTCACAAGAGGGCCTTGGCAGAACTTTCAACTCAGGCACATGATGGCTTTTCTTTCTATCTCTCTGCTCCATCCTCCATTCTCCTTTTTAGGCCACTTGTCATAATCTAATATCCAAACAAAGGGTTTCTAGGGTGACGGTGAGTAGCTACCTGGGAGGCTGAGGCAGAAGAACTGCTTGAGCCTAGGAGTTCTAAGCTGCAGTGAGCTATGATTGCCACTGCATTCTAGCTTAGGCAACAGAGCAAGATCCTATCTCCAAATAAACAAACAAAAACAACTAAAAATATATAATTAGCCAGGCATGGTGGTGCATGCCTGTAATCCCAGCTACTTGGGAGGCTGAGGCACGAGAATCGCTTGAAGCCAGGCAGTAGAGGTTGCAGTGAGCTGAGATCGCACCATTGCACTCCAGCCTGGGCAACAAGAGCAAAATTCTGTCTCAAAAAAAGAAAAAAGCTGTAATTTGCCCAAGGTCACATAGCTAAAAAGTGGAAGAGACATAACTGAAACTCAAGCCTCCTAAATTCCTAATGTAGGGTTCAGCCCACTTCTACCATCCTCCCACAGACTAAGGGGCCTGCTCAGAGCTGGGCAATGGTGGGGTGTACTCTGTGGCCCCAAGCTCATTGAAACTAACAACTGAGCTGAAAACGTGTGGAGCCTCTTCTGCCCTCTTCAGAAATCACCAGCTATAGATAGGAGAGAGCACATTCCTCCCATTCCACTCTCCATGGTGCGTCCCTTTTTACTATATAACAAAGTTATATTGAATGAGTTCTGGGCTGAGGTGTGGCGGCTCATCCCTGTAATCCCAGCACTTTGGGAGGCTGAGGCAGGAGGATTGCTTGAGTCCAGGAGTTCAACACCAGCCTGGGCTAGTCTCATAAGTGAGACCCCCATCTCTACAAAAAAAAAAAAAAATGCTGGGTATAGTGGCATGTGCCTGTAGTCCCAGCTGTTCAGGAGGCTGAGGTGAGAGGATTGCTTGAGCCCAGTAGTTCAAGTTTCAGTGAGCTCTGATTGTGCCACTGCAATCCAGCCTGGAGAACAGAACAAGAACCTATGTTGAAAAAAAAAAAAAGTGAATGAATGAATGTCTCCTTAGCAAAATCTAGAGAACTTGCTTTTGGGCTTCCCTAGGCAACTTCTGGAACGCTAAAGTCGGTAGCCAGAGCATTGTCCCACAGAATGGGGCTAATCTATCCCATTCCCCATGAGCTATAAAGCCGTTTGCAAGTTCAGCCATTGGAGTCCCATTGGCCCAGTTAAACTTTCACTTTTGGCCTCCTGCACTACCAGCTTTCCTTAGTGTCTGGGCTCTCAAAAGTTCTCGGTGAGAATTGCCTGAGGAACTTGTTAGATGGGCAATTTCCCACCCCACCCCCAGAGATTCAGATTCAAACCCGGGCTGGGGGTGTTCTTTGTGGTGCCTGGGATGAGTCTTCCAAGAACCATTTGGAGAAACAGGCCCTGCTGGTATTTTGCTTCAGTTCAGGCCTTGACTGATAAGAGAGCCTGCAGGGTTGAGGAAGAAGGCTGTTTTGAAAGGTGGAAGTTCGAGTCCAGCCTGGGCAACATGGCGACACCAAAAAATAAGTATACATAACCAAGCAAGTTTTTTTTTTTTTTTTTTTTGGGACGGAGTTTCGCTCTTGTTACCCGGGCTGGAGTGCAATGGCGCGATCTCGGCTCACCGCAACCTCCGCCTCCTGGGTTCAGGCAATTCTCCTGCCTCAGCCTCCTGAGTAGCTGGGATTACAGGCACGTGCCACCATGCCCAGCTAATTTTTTGTATTTTTAGTAGAGACAGGGTTTCACCATGTTGACCAGGATGGTCTCGATCTCCTGACCTCGTGATCCACCCGCCTCGGCCTCCCAAAGTGCTGGGATTACAGGCTTGAGCCACCGCGCCCGGCCTCCAAGCAAGTTTTTCTCTGGGCTGTCGTGACTTATTTTTTCTTTTTCCTTCTGCAAATTGCAACTCAAATAAGGTTTGATCTGCCAGACTGAAAAAAGGACTTCTGTTCCAAATACCCACGCGTTACATTTCCCACAGGTGGCCAGACAAATGCTGGAACCTTTGGAGGAGAGGGTCTGGTCTTGTCCCGCATCCCACGAGGGTCCCCCGCTCTTTGGGACTGAGCAGATCTCCGGGGCGCCCTGGTCGCCCCTTGCGGCAGTTGGTGCGGCCTCTTCAGAGGGCCCGGACCGCCGCCTGGGGCACCCCGCGGCCCTCGCCGCAGCCCCAGGGACGAGCCCAGCGGTGCGGAGAGGTGGGAGGCTGGAGCTTGCTGAGGTCATTTCCTGTGCCTCTCCGCGAGCTGCCTGGAGAGCCGAGCCCAGCGCTCTGCCTTTAAGGAGCGGGCGGGGAGCCGAGGGGAGGAGGGCGCCCGGCGGAGCGTTGAATGGGGCGCCGCAAGGCACGGCCGGGCTTTGTGCAGCGAGCCCGCGGGCACCCCTCCCGCTCCAGCCTCGCCCCGCCCCGCCGCCCACGACCCCTGCTGCCCGGGAGCCAAGAGCCAGCGGCCGCCCGAGACTCGGGAGAGAGCGACGCAAGGTCGGCGGCTGCGGCCGGAGGGCGCCCGTGTGCCCGGTGCGCGGCGGGGACTGCAGCGAGCTCGCTGGAGGTGAGTGACCCGCATGCCCACCGCGAGCATGGGCTGGGGCTGTGCTGCGGGGGAGGGCGTCAGACTGCATGCGGGGCCCCTCCGGCCGGGAGGACAGTCCGGAGCAGGTGCTTCCCTACCTGGAAGCGAGCTCCTGGCGGTGGGAGCGCTGGAGCGCGGGTCCGGCTTGGCGAGCCGGGTGACCCTGGGGACCCGCGCCGCAAGGCCAGGAGGAGCCTCCCCCAGGAGGACCCGGAGTTGGGGACTAGCCCGATCCAGTCGCTCCTGGAAAGGGCCCTCGGAGCGGACGTGCCGGCTGCCACCTTGCTATCGGTGCTCGCACCCTTTCACCCCTCCCCGCCTCACCTTACGTTGTTTCTAATGTGGTTTCTGGGTGTTCTTAGGGACCCTATGGCTCAGGCTCGACTGCTAGGAGCAGGTCAGCCAAGCAGAAAAGAGAACAGGTTGGGCGCCGACTGACAGAGTCTTAGCGAGGACTCGGTCTCCAGGAACCAGGGGCCTTAGTGGGGGTGGCAGAAGCGGTGAAGACCCTCAGGAAGGAAACTCCTCTCCCTGTGGGATTTCTGCCTGTCAGGATATCTCCTCCATAGCTTTTACTGTGAATCCACCTCGTAAAACTCTTCCGGGACAAAGCCTTGGTTCAGTTAAAACGCTTGAAAGACCGTTTTTAAAATTCAGTGGAAGAGTTATCAGTTACTCCATCAAACTTTTTGGACTGTTTTCTATGGACAGACACTGTGTATTGGACTGGTGCCATCTCTTAACATTTGATGGAACATAGGTATTAGTGTTTCTGCATATTATTAGCCCCATTTTCCAAAGGAGGAAACGGGGACTCTGAAAAGTTGTGATTTAGGCCAGTTGTGGTGGCTCATGCCTGTAATCCCAGCACTTTGGGAAGCCAAGGCAGGAGGAAAACTTGATGCCAGGAGTTCGAGACCAGCATGGGCAACATAGGGAGACCCTTGTGTTTACAAATAAATAAAAATTTAAAAATTAGCTGGGTGTGGTGGTGTGGGCCTTTAGTCCCAGCTACTTGGGAAGCTGATGCAGAAGGATTGCTTGAGCCTAGGAATTCGAGGCTTCAATGAGCTATGATTGCCACGGCATTCTTAGCCTGAGCAACAGAGTGAGATCCTGTCTCTTAAAAAAAAAAAAAAGTTGTGACTTGCCCACGATCACATAGCTAAAAATTACAAGAGACATAACTGAAACCCAAGCTTCCTAAATTCCTAATGTAGGGTTTGGTCCACTTCTGCCATCCTCCCACAGACTGCCAAGGGGGCCTGCTCAGAGTTGGGCAATGGTGGGGTGCACCCTTTGAGTTTGAGTCCCCAAACTCATTGAAACAACTGAGCTGAAAACATGTGGAGCCTCTTCTGCCCTCTTCAGAAGTCACCAGCTATAGGGGAGAACATGTTCCTCCCATTCCTGCCAGAAAAAAAATAAATCCAGAGAAATGTCTGGCAATTTAAAGTGTATATCACTTACCCCTAAATTCCGTTTCCTGCGACTTTATTCCTCAGATATACCCTGATGTATATGAAATGGTGTACATCATTGAATATTCATTGCAGCATTGTTTACTTTAGCAAAAGGTTGGAAACAACCCAGATGTCCATCAATAAGGGCTCCTTCAATAAGATCACGTAATAGCCACACAATAGAATACATTAAAGCCGTTACAAAGCATGGAGGGAAAATGTGGCAGATATGTATACTGATGTAGGAATATCTCTAAGTTATATTGTTGAGTACAGTGTGTATGGTGTGCAACCATTTGTGTGTGAGTATGCCAGATATGTATGAATGCTGTATATGCCCTGAATATCTCTGAGAACACACAGAAACCTGTAACAGTGGTTGCCTCTGGGGAGAAATAGGGCTGAAGCACAGGCATGGGAAGAAGCCTTACTTTGCACTATATACCCTTTTGTTCAATGTTCAAAAATAAATTAATAAAATAGCTTTAAAAAATCATATGACCTTCCCTTCAGATCGCCAGAGTTAGATCTGGTAGTGAGATAGTGAGCACATCTTTTTTTTTTTTTTTTTTTTTTTAAGCCAGAGTCTCTCTCTGTCACCCAGGCTGGAATGCAGTGGCATGATCTCGGCTCACTGCAACCTCCACCTTCTGGGTTCAAGAAATTCTCCTGTCTCAGCCTCCTGAGTAGCTGGGATTACAGGCACCACCACCCCCCCACAACCACACCTGGCTAATTTTTGTATTTTTAGTTTCTCCATATTGGCCAGGCTGGTCTCGAACTCCTGACCTCAGGTGATCTGCCTTGGTCTCCCAAAGTGCTGGTATTACAGGCACGAGCCACGACACTCAGCCTAGTGAGCACATCTTTGGGCCACATCTCCTCTTAGGTTCTGGATGCTATTGGTTTGCCTTTTGTTTGCCGATATCAACAATAACAGTCATTTATTGAGTGCTTAGTGTGCACCAGGCTTTTGTGATATCTCCTTTAATTCTCAAAAGCCCTGCCTGATGTGATACATGAAGTGGCCATTTTGAAGGTTGAAAAATGGTTAAATGTTGACAGTTCCATGTGGTTCAACCAAATGTTATTGTCCTCATTTTCAAATATTACTGCCCTCAATTTCAAAATGGAACTGAGTCTCAAAGAAGTTAAGCAAATGGCTTAAGGCCACAGGATTATTTAGTGCTGAGCTCATATTTTAACCCAGGGCTGTCAGTGCCAGAGCATGGGATCTTAGGTACTAAGCTGTTTCTCTTTGATGTTTTTGTTTTCAAGGAATGTTGTACCTGGTTGTCCTGACCCCTTCTTTTGGTATTTAGGTCACTGCGGCCTAGGACATGCTCACCTTGTCTTTGTCTCCCCTGACATTGTGTGGAATGTGATGCAGGCACCCAGTATTGGTCAAATGCATGTTGTTAGCTTGATCAGATGACAATGCTGAGATCAGAAGTTGTCCCTGTTTCTGCTCATACCCTTCTCTCAGCCTCATCCCCAGAAAGGGGACACAAAGCTGTTTCTTTCCCACAATGGACAGGTAGTCAGCCTCGTCTGGCAGAGCACTTTTAGGAGATGGTGGTGGCCCCTCACTAACAAGTGGAAGTCATACAGGTACTCACACTCAGGGAATGAACCATACTGAGGTGACATGAGAGAGCCCAGTGGAAATTGTACATATAACAGAAGGCTGGTTGCCTTCCAATTCTTCCTGTGTCCTCCACAAGTTAGAGGCAATGAGCTATTTTGAGGCCTGTGGTGACCTCTGACCTCTTTCTTTTAGACTCCTGTATTGATTAGCTACCTTTGCAGGGAGTTACCAGGATATTCAGGCTGTAGACTTGAGCCTCAAAAGCCACAAGATCTTTATTCATCTTTGTGTCCCCAGTCTTGCACACAGGAATCACTTAAAAGTTGTTTGAATTAAACTTAGTCTCAGGGCCGGGAGCAGTGGCTCATGCCTGTAATCACAGCACTTTGGGAGGCCGAGGCAGGTGGATCACCTAAGGCCCGGAGTTCAACCAGCCTGGTCAACATGGTGAAACCACATCTCTACTAAAAATATAAAAATTAGCTGGTGTGGTGGTGCAGGCCTATACTCCCAGCTACTCAGGAGGATGAGGCAGGAGAATCGTTTGAACTTAGGAGGCGGAGGTTGCAGTGAGCTGAGATTGCACCACTGCACTCCAGCCTGGGTGACAAAGCGAGACTTCATCTCAAAACAAAATGGACGTAATCTTAGGCCAGGCACAGTGGCTCAACACACTTCAGAAGGCTGAGGCAGGTGGATCACTTGAGCCCAGGAGTTCGAGACCAGCCTGGGCACCATGGTGAAATCCTGTCTTTACAAAAATTACCCAAGCATGGTGGTGCACATCTGTAGTCCCAGCTGCTTGGGAGGCTGCGGTGGGAGGGTCACCTGAGCTTGGGAAAGTTGAGGCTTCAGTGAACCATAATTGTGCCACTGCACTCCAGCCTGAGCAACAGAGCAAGACCCTGTCTCAAAAAAAGAAAAAAAAAAAAGTAATCCTAGCATTTTGTCAGTTTCTGGTCAAATCCTCAAACTTGCCAGAGAGATCCCAGGTCAAATTTGTGTTTTCTCTGATATAGGCTCTGAGTCTGGAGTCACCTAATGACTCCCTGTGCTACCTTCCCACCCATCCTGCTCCCAGCCCCTGCCTCTGAGGCATATCCCCACTGACTGCTGTGGCATTTCAGTCCCAGGTGTTGGAGGATTCAGGGGATGCCAAAGCAGGTATCAAGACCATGGCAATCTTTCCACTCACCTGCCAAGCAGTTTAGTAGGCTGGGTGCCAACAGAATCAAGAAAACCGAGTTTTACAACACTGGCCAAGAGCTGATCATAATTTTAGCTGGGTATTGGGAACATAAGGACTTATTGTACTATTCTCCCTATTTCTAATGTGTGATAGAGCATTCTAGAATAAAAGTAGAAAAAAAAATTGAGCTGAGTTTTGTTCCCAGCTCACTTCCCCTCTCTCATTTCCCCATTTATTTTTGCCATTCATGTTGTATTTGTTAGTATGAATATCTGGTAGATATTCAGGCTAGAATAGTCATACTAGCCTGTTAGTATGAATATCTGCTACCACTATTGAAGCATCATCATGGGGAGGGGACAGTTGTAGATGTTGGGAGATCAGGATTCTTGGCCCAGCTCTGCTACTGCTTAGCTCTTTGCAAGTGTCTAAGCAAGTCATAGATGTGATGAGTTTTCACATCTGTTCATTGTGAGTAATTGTACTTGTCCTCCATCTCAGGGATAAAGAGAGAAATAACACACGCATCACAATGCTTTGACAGGTTACAAGCTACTGCAAATGTAAGGTATTCATTTCTGCTCATCCTTCTGCACTTTTATGGGAGGTACAAGTGCAAGGTGACTTAGCAAGTGAGGCTCAGCTTACTGGTATCTTCCTTTAACCTCCCTTATGTTATAGCTGTTGCTCTGACCACCTGCTTCTGTCGGAAGGGCCTCTGGGCTTTGGGCTTGGCAGCAGCCACCTTGCTCCTGATCTGTTTCAAAACCTCTCTGCTCTCCTCACATGCCGAGGCAAGCCTTGCACGAGTCCCAACCTCCTCAGCAACTTGCCAGGGAGACGATGGTTAATTCTCTCCATCCCCAAGGCAGGGAGAGGATTAACCAGACCACTTGATCAGTTCAGAACCACGATGTCACGGAGTTGCTTGATCGGGGAAAGCATTCCCTAAACTAAGTAGAATCTCAGATATCAGGGCTAGGCAGACACCAGTGACATCTTTTCAAAGTACTTAGAGATTTTGATAATTTGGGTTTTCATTCTCCCAATAGAATGTGAGCAGCAGCTTTGACCATCAGTAAGAGAGAATCAATATTAATCAAACTCTTTCAACTACACAAAAGGATTACATTTCCCCTGCCCCTTGCTTTTATGCTTTTGCTATTATTTCTTAGCCCTGAGCTGAGTTGCAAGACTCCCAGGTTCTAGTCTCAGATCTGCCACTTTCCGTATTTATACAAGGAAAAGCAAAATCTCATTAAAGGGCAAGGGAAGATCAAACATGAAGCCTCCTGGCCTTCTCTGAGAGCCTTACAAGGTTCTGTTTTGTCTTTTCAGCTGTGATCTTAGCTCAGAGAAGGTCATGTTTGGTTTTTTTCTTTTGTCTTCCTGCCCGTTCCAGTTGGTCCCAGTCTTTTGAGGTTGGGATTGCTGGGAGGTCTCAATGTAGGGATTGTTTGGATGACAGGCTGGGAGGGCAGCGCTGAAGTCATGTGTTCTGAGGAGCCAAGAACCGAGCTCACTCGGTCCATCAGTGGCTTAATTGTTGGGCTTTTCTCTGCAGGTCTTATTTTTTAGATGAAAAGTCAGGACACATGGTAAGTGTCAGTGCTTAGAGAAGTTATGGTCTCAGAATATTTGAGCCCAAGATGTCTTGGAAAATCTGGGATATAGGTTCATCCTTGTGCTGAGGCTTCTGAAAGATCCTAGAAACGATTTCTGCCATTATCAAGTCTACCTCATTCTTTGTGAAATTGGAATTATTTTTATTTTGGGGGTGGGTAAAGAGCATACAGTGCCAACAAACTAGGAATTTGCAACCAGAATCCCAGCTCCACCACTAACTAGCTGTACAATTATCTGTAAATTATTTGGCTTCTCTGTTCCTCAGTGTCCTCATGTGTGTGGACAACAGTACCTACCTGTGGTTTCACAGGTTCTTGTAAGGATTAAAGAGACCACACGTGCCTGACACACAATAAAGACTCAATAAACAATAGCTACTTGTAGTGTATGATGGGAGAAAGATATGAATAAAAGTCACATGCGAGGGGAGAAGCACTATTGGTGATTAGCCCATCAAAGAGAGGCTAACTTTGCACTGTGGTAATATCTGGCAATAGTACAGGAGGTGGCTGGGTTTTCTGAGGCCATGTGGCTCCTGGGGAAGGAAAAGGGGATTTTAAAAAGCAACAGATTTTTATTATGGAAAATTCCAGGCATATATTCAAGTAGAGAGATCATATAAATAACTCCCATATACCCATCACCCAGCTTCAAAAATTATCAGCATTTTAAGAATCCTATTTCATATATCTCCTCCCCTACCTACCTCTTACCATAAAGTATTTTAAAACAAATCCCAGATATTATATCATTTCACCTATATATCAAACATTTCTAACAGATAACATTTTAAAATATCAGCTGAGTGTGGTGGCTCACACCTGTAATTCCCAGCACTTTCAGAGGCTGAGGCAGGTGGATCACTTGAGGCCAGGAGTTCAAGACCAGCCTGGCCAACATAGTGAATCTCCATCTCTACTAAAAATACAAAAAATTAGTCAGGCTTGGTGGTACATGCCTGTAATCCAGCTACTCAGGAGGCTGAGGCATGAGAATCACTTGAATGAAGCCAGGAAGCAGAGGTTGGAGATTGTAGTGAACCAAGATTATGCCATTGCACTCCAGCGTGGGTGACAGAGTGAGACTCTCCCTCAAAAAAAAAAAAAAAAAAAAAAAACCCTAAACAATTAAAAATTATTCCTTAAAATCATTGACTACTAGGGTGACCATGTGTCATGGTTTGGGACAGACCAAATTTATACTTTTTGGCAAGCGTCATTCATCATAACACCTTATGCATACTCATGCTTCCTTCTTCCTTTTCTCATCCTCCATCCAGTTTTTTTTCTCTAAATATGTCCAGGAGGCATCTAGGTGAATTCCCCTAACTGGACATACTATAGATATTTACTTGATTTGTTCTGAATTTGTACAACATTTTTGAGAAAGCCCAAAGACTTGTGGCTTTCTCCAGAGGTTGCAGCAAAATATCTCGCAGTTTTTGGTTTGCGTCTTTGAACCTGAAGGAAATGGTGAGGATCTGTTCCAAAGTGGGATGGATGATTCAATGATAACAACAGAGAAATTCCCATCTAAATAGAAGATTATCAAGGACATTCAAAGCATTATATTTTCTTTCTATTTTATTCTATCTAACATCTTATATAGATAAAGTAGAATAAGAAATAAACTGGGAAGCTGGGTTCTGCCGCTAATTAACTATGTGACCTGGGATGCATCTGTTACCCTCTTTAAGCCTTTCCTAAACACATCCCTCCCACTTTTCCCAGCTCCCATTCCCATTTATCTGCCTATCACTTGGCAACTATAACCACACTGTAATTAAATTTTCCTAAGATTTCCTTGAAAAACCCAAAGACAGGGAAACTCTCTTAGTTCCGTTTGCATCTCCAGGGCCAAGCACAGGGTCAGACACATAAGTAGCTGTTTAATGGATAAATTTGTTGTGTGGATAATCGAAAAACAAATGAGCCCTACTTTTCACTTCTGTCCAAATGAGGCTAGGTTCTCAAGGTGTCTCAGGTTTCGCTGTTTCCTGAAGCTCTCAGCTAACTTACAATGGAGCAGGACACACTGAGCTGAGGAAGGCAGGGATGGGGCTCTGGGGATAGGTGACCAATTCTCTTCCCCAACCCTGTTTTCTCTGTCTTTCGGTCCCCTCCCCTCTTTTCCCCCACAGAACTCTTCCTCACACACTTATTTATCTTTTCCTCTTTCTGCATGCTTGTTCTTAGGGCTCCCTGGAATAATCTAGAAGTTGATTCCATCATGGCAGAACTCAAGGTGGATGTGCGGGCCAGCGTAGACTGGCAGAAACGCTGCCTGGCTCTGGAAACCCAGCTTTTCCGGTTCCGACTACAGGCCAGTAAGATAAGGGAGCTGCTGGCTGACAAGGTGAGTCCCGCAGAGCAGAGCAGAGAGCTGCCTCCCCACAGGCAGGCAGAGGTTTATGGCAGGGAGGGGCAGAGGTTTATGGCAGGGAGGGCTGCATGAGAGGGAGGGTTGGGGAAAGTCAACTTTCAGTAAGATGCCTTTTCCCCCATGCAAAATGAAACCCAAGGTAGTTTAATACCAAACTCTGAGCAGTTGACTAAGCTGTGATCTTGCTTGCGTCCTTGCTCTGCTCACTCATAAGGCACACCAAAGACATGCTGCCGATCTTCTGGGTCCCCCATCACTTCTGGAGTCACCTGTGGCTGCAGTGGAGAGGTTCTATTATTCTCTTAACATTTCTTTCTCAATGTGGGGAAGGGTGGTGTTTCAGGACCTTCCTCTTATCCTTTGTTAAATATATGAGCTACAGAAGGTGACCGTCTGCTTTCCTGGTAACAAGGACACAGGTTGTGGAGCCAGACCTAACTTTGCTCTGCCACTTACAGGCTATGTGACCCTAGGCAAGTCCCTTGACCTCTAAGGCAAAAACACAAATGTCTACTTCTAAGAGTTATTTTGAGAATTATGTTGGATCACATATGTAAAGGTCCTGACATAGAATAGGTCTTAAATTGGAATGATTATTTTCTTTACAGGTTTGGGTGGGCTGGTCTGGGAAACTGACCACCTTTCCCAGTGTTTCTATGGGAGGATACATTCTAAACTGCTAACTTTCAGAGACATTCTGGAGCATAACCCATCTAGAGAGTGAAGACCTGCACTTAATAAAATTAAATGAATAAATCGTTCTATGTATAGTTTCGTTTATAATATCCACCTGCTTAGCAAACCCTTCTTTCAGAAGTACAAAGGGAAAATTCAGCTCACCCTTCTCCAGATAATGTCCAAGCCTCAATTAGTAGAGCCTGAATGGATGGCCTGTGTTACTGATAGCTGGAGTCTAGCAGGACCAATCAGTGGCATCACCGTGGCTGAGGGGAGTGGTCCTGGAATAGCCTGGACTAGAACTCTCGAACGTTGGGTCTGTTGGCATTGTTGTCTCCTAACTCAGACTTTGCAAAACAAACTTGCAGGGCTCCTGCCAGGTGCTGCCTGTAGAAAGGGATGAATCGGGAAAGGGCAGGAGACCTCAGGTGGTGATTCTCAAAGTATGGTCAGAAACGTTTTGCCAGAACCACCTGGAGTGCTTGTTAAGCATGCATATTCCTGGGTTCCACCTCAGGCCTCTCAATCAAAGTCTCCTGGGGGTTGCTAATAATCTGCATGTTTAACAAGTTCCCAGAAAATGATTCTGTACACTATGAAGTTTGAGAACCCTGCCTTAGGCTGTGGTATTGTGGGAGGGACATGAGGGAAGGAAAGGGTAAGTAGGGATCGACTCAGCCAGGCAGTCTGAGATCTACCTCAGAGGGAAGAGACTCCTGTTTCTGGTAATAAGGACAATAAAACAAAAAACCCCGCTATGAGTCACCTGGAAATACTGGGTTAAATATTTTAAAAATTCATGTGAATGCAAAGCTGAGCACTGAAAAGAGTAAGAAAAGTCCTCAGGTAACAGAATGAAGAGGAAGAAGCCATTGGTACTCTGATAGCTGACTGAGCAGCAGGTGGTGTGTGGCTGGCCTCCCTAGAGTAACGTAAGGTTTGAAGTTAGAGTTTTAACATCCGTGGGGATAGAAATGAGGACTGGCCAGCTGGAGGGTGGAGCTGAAACAGACTTCCACATAAAGTCAAACTATTACTTCTTTTGATTAGTGTCATGTGAACAAAATTTAAAAATAAAAAATAGGACTATTGAAGGGCTTACCCTCAATAAGAGGGTAGACAAAGAAAGGAAAGTCATTCACCAGTACAGGAGATGACAACAGCTTCTCAGACTTAGTTAAGGCTCTGGATAGAAAAACAAGAGGAAGTCTCCCCTGAGAACCTGATGACAACACTGTTTTAATGTTAGGATTTATACTACCTGTGTGGCTTAGGACACCCAAGTTCTGGGCCAGTGATACCCCTAGGGAGCCTGGTAGAAACGGATATAATACCTCTCTGGAGAAATAAGACCTCAACTCAGATCACACAGGATCTGCACAGAAAAAAACAAAACAAAACAAAACAAAAGTCTTAATGAAGAGGAATATATAATCAAACATGACTAAATACTTGAGTATTTAGTATTTACAATCTACAGTGAGTGAGAATCCACGTACACAAAATCAATTGAACTAGATCCCCAACAACTTCTAATAATGGAACTGTTGGCAAGAGACATAAAATAAATGAGTTCAAAAGTTTTGAAGATGTAACAAAGAAATTGAAAGCATAAGACAAGAACAAGACACTACCTAAAAAGATCGGGTAGACTTGAAAACTAAATAGAACTTTTAGAAGTGAAAGTGTTTTCATTGAAATTAAAATGTATTAATGGATAGATTAAACATCAGATTAGGCACCATTGAAGACAGACTTAACGGACAGGAAGACAGACCTAAGGAAATCATCCAGAATGCTGCCTACAGAAATAAAGATACAGCAGCTGATACCTGAATATTAGAATGACAAGGTCCTATATCTACCAAATAAGATTCCAAAAGTGGAGAAGAGAATGAAGGAAAGGTATTACTTGAAGAGATAGTGGCTGAAAAGTTTCCAAACGGTGAAAGACATGAAGCCTCAGATTCAGGAAGCAGAATAAGTCTAACCAGGATACTTACTTATTTAATTATTTATTTATTTAATCTCAGACACAGTCGTACTCTGTCGCCCAGGCTGGAGTGCAGTGGCATGATTTCAGCTCACTGCAACCTCCGTCTCCTGAGTTCAAACAATTCTCCTGCCTCAGCCTCCCAAGTAGCTGGAATTACAGGTGTGTGCCACCATGTGCAGCTAATTTTTGTATTTTTTTTAGTAGAGACAGGATTTCACCATGTTGGCCAGGCTGGTCTTGAACTCCTGACCTTGTATTCAACCTGCCTCAGCTTCCCAAAGTGCTGGGATTACAGGTACGAGCCACCGCACCTCGCATCAGGATAAATTTTTTAAAATCACAGTTTGGTTAAATCACTGTTTGGCTGCTGTAAGAAAGAACTGCAATAGCAATGGCATAAACCAGGTGATGTTTCTTTCTTTCTCATGAAACCTTCTAGACATAAGCAATCCAACTCTGCGATGTCCTCTGGGTGTTTTAAGCTGGGTCACCTGATATTCACATTCCAACCTCTTCCCTTTAATTAGTGACTCAGAGGTTTCATACCTTTCTTTTGCTGATATCCCACTGGCCAGGTCTTATTCACCTGGTTATACCCAGCTACAAAGAAGGTTTGTATATTTCTACAAACAGAAATATAGTCTTTATTCTGAATAACAACATGCTAAGCTAAAAGTTGAGGGTTCTATTTATATGAGAAAGAAAGATAGGATACATAATAGGGAAAAACCAGCAGTCTTTAGAATAATAGAAGGAATAACAAATAGAAGCAGCGTATGTATACCTCAAATCAGTAGAGTGAGGAAATGAAAAAAGGAAAGCCTATTAAATCCAGATAGGGACAAGAAAATAATATCTCAAAAAAAGGATGCCAGGTGCAGTGTCTCATGCCTGTAATTCCAGCACTTTGGGAGGCCGAGGTGGGTGGATCATGAGATCAGGAGTTCAAGACCAGCCTGACCAACATGGTGAAACCTCACCTCTAGTAAAAATACAAAAATGAGCTGGGTATGGTGGCCTGCATCTGTAATCCCAGCCACTCAGGAGGCTGAGGCAGGAGAATTGCTTAAACCCAGAAGGCGAAGGTTGCAGTAAGCCAGGATGGCGTCACTGCACTCCAGCCTGGGCGACGGAGCAAGACTCTGTCTCAAAAAAAAAAAAAAAAAAAAAGAAAGAAAGAAAGAAAAAAGGAGTAAACAGAAGGGATAAATGAAGTGGCAGAAATAAATCCAAATATATTGGTCACAAGGTGACATATATATTGCAGCATTGGTGTATGAAAAATTGGAAACATTCTAAATGTCCAACAGAGGGATGGATAAACATATGTAGTGTATTTGTATGGTGGAATACTATATTGCAATTAAACATGATTCAAGTAGAACTACATTTGTAAGATCAGTAAATCTCAAAAATCAGCATTGAACTAAAAACATCTGAAGGATATAAACAGCATCAAACAGTTTATGTAATTCTAAAAACCTGCCAAGACAGTACTATTTGTTGTTTCTCATCCCAGATCCACACTCATGGATTTTCTATATTTGGGAATAAGCATATGATTTCTTTTCTTTCTTTCTTTTTTTTTTTTTTGAGACAGAGTTTTGCTCTTGTTGCCCAGGCTGGAGTGCAATGGTGTGATCTCGGCTCACCGCAACCTCCGCCTCCTGGCTTCAAGTGATTCTCCTGCCTCAGCCTCCTGAGTAGCTGGGATTACAGGCATGCACCACCACACCCATCTAATTTTGTATTTTTAGTAGAGATGGGCTTTCTCTATGTTGGTCAGGCTGGTCTCGAACTCCCGACCTCAGGTGATCCGCCTGCCTCAGCCTACCAAAGTGCTGGGATTACAGGTGTGAGCCACTGTGCCCTGCCTAGTATATGATTTCAACTGAACCAAAGCTCTGCTGCTAAAAAAAAAAAAAAAGAAAAAAAAAAAAAAAAAAAAAAATCAGAAACATTGTCTTAGATTACAGCAATTAGAACCATTTAATGGCTAACCTGGGGGTTGCAAAGTCAAATGTTTACAGGTAAGTTAGAGAAGTGAAGAGAGCCAGGTGGGTCCTGGGAGAACATGACCCACTGAAGCCACTTACTGCCATAAGAAAATGTAACCCCAGGTATATTTATCATATACAAATGAGGTAAAAGTATAAACACAACCAAAGGTAGGGTCAATGCTAGAGAAAAGGGAGTAACATTGGAGAGAAGTACGCAGGGCTTCAACTGCATCTGTCACGGTCCGTTTCTTAAAGACAAACATCAGAAGCAGACGTGACAAAAATTAAAGATTGACAAA